CTTCCCATCTCCTGGCGAAAAATGTTGGCAAAGGAAGAGACTAGCTGGCTTTGAGGCGTGTTCCTTTGGATTTTTTTGCTTTTTGGTGGATCATCATTCGACTCTGCGATGGGACTACCACAGGATCACAAGACGCTGGGTGTGCGTTTTTTTGAGGTGTTTCCGCGATTGACGACTCATTCCACCAAGCATCTAAAGAAGGAGTTGTGGACGCAAGCGCTTCAAGTAGTAGCATGTAGCAGACAGAACATTTGCTTGGCTCCCCAGTCTGTGTTCACAAGACTAGTGACCCGGAGATTCAAGTTGCAGTTTAGAGATCGTGGGGAGTAGTCTGATTGGTGGAGTCCTCAGACGATGTGCGAACTTGCTGACATGTGATGCGTCTCTTGTGAGCATCACACCCTGGAAGGCATCACAAATGTAAAAAGTTCGAATTGTCCTGGGCAACTTCCTCAGCCCTAACCCCCTAGACCCTAAACCCCAAGAAATCCTAAACCCTTATAAACCCGGGCTTCGGAGTTTTAAGTGCAGGGCTTCAACTTCGTGACCCCCCCGGTCAATTGAGCCTGAGGTCATCAGCCAAGTTTGAGTTCTGGGGTCTTCAGAACTTGCGCCACACATTGCCCTTAACCGGTCAGCTTCTTGTCACGCAAGCTTGCTAAGTCAGCGCAGCAAACGGCTCCAGTTGACAATTTCTGCGCTCGGCGCTCGTCAGCCAGGAGCCTGCTTCGTTTGGTTTGAGCTCCAGCTTGCCGACCCACACGTCGTGTTCCTAGGGTCCTAGGGTTTAGGCTTAGTTCCTTGAAGTCAGGGGTGCAACTGGGGGCCAGGGTTGCAGAAGATGCACCGCACGCTTGGAGGTTAGCCCGCCTCATCTACAGCAAGCCTGTCAAGCGCTTGGCTAAGCAAATCATGCCTGAGCTTGGGAGAGCCTGCGTCCTCAGAGCTGCAACCCTTGACCGTTAACCCCGCACCCTAAACGGGGTCAGCAGGACTCCTTTTGTGCCCATAATCTGAGCTGCTCTTCTGCTTGTGCCTGGCTCTCCGTGCTGGGCCAGAGAGAGAACCCCAAACTTCATAAGTTCTCAGTACCACCCTTAGATCTGTAGGGGAGGACCTCCAAGTACTGCCAAATTGTTGCTTTGCCCATGCCCCTTGGCCGTCGTGTGCGGGTTGGGCCCATGGCTTTATCTCTGTAAACAGAAGGCAGCCCTAAACCCTTCCTCCTTCCAAGCAAAACCGGTGAAGGTCAGAATCTTCAGATCCTAGAAAGGATTTTGGGCCGATTTACTTCAGTGCCCGAGTACCTTATGCTTTGCTTTGGGTCGCTTGGCACGCTATGGGCTCATGGCCGTAAAGAAGCCCATCCCGATTCCAGCTGCCGCCCCTCAGCTCTTGCCGGCGATGGCGACAGCGGCTTCGTGACGGTGCCTGATACGAGCTTCCACCTGTAGCCTGAAAGCCCGAAAAATCCGCAAGACCCTCCACCTGAAGCCGCTCTCACTGTGCACTAGGAGACTTTGGCCTGGGACGTCTGAGCTTCCAGCATAGAAGTATGGACCTGCTGGGCGGAGCTTAAGTTTCCCTGGGCAGTCCGGATCTCCGCTCATGCATGGGTCTGGCCTTCGCGAAGAAAGCCTTAAGAATGGCTCAGGGTAGTTTCAAAGGCTTTGTTGAAGTCAGACGTTGGTGCAGAGGTTGCTGACGCACCCTTAGAGTTAATGGCCACTTTAAGTCTGATGCACAGCTACTTCACGTCATCCTTGAAGGCTCACCTCAAGCCAAGGAGACGGATGTCTGACAATACCCTATACTGGGGACTCTTTCGAGACCCAACGCCCTTTAGCCTTTGTCTTGCTCCAAGGCGGTTTCGAGGCTGTCGTAACCTGTTTCCGTCATGGTTTGCCTTGCAGTGCAGCTTTAGCCTGCAGGGCCAGCTGCACCTCAGCCTGCCCAACCACGCCGCTTCCCGCGCCCTCGAAGGTTTTTGCTCCCCAAGCAGCTGTCCTAGCTTCCTACAATTTACATGCCTCCATGTTCCAGCAAGCCACAAGGTTTTAGGTGTTCAAGGTTGAGGACACAAGTCTGGCCGGATTGGCCAAGCATGGAGGACCTCTCGCTACTTCTTTGTCAAGTCTGAAAAAAGCGTGGTTTACTGAACGCTGTGTCGACTGAATATCCACACCCGGGTGGCGGCTACCCTTGCGTGTCCACACTGGAGTTGCCAAGGTGTGCTTGTTTTGCATGTTAGCGCCGGGAATGACAGGATCACCTGTTTTGCTTGAGTTTGAGACCAACAGTCAAATACCTTTGCGCCGCTGTGCGAAGGTCGTTTCCAGCTCAGGAGTTCAGCACTATCAAAATTGTTCTTGATTGCAAGCGCTTTCATATAAATGCCTTGCCAAACTCCAACACATTGATGCTTCCCTTGACGCATTTTGCAGGAGGAGACGTCTTCATCACGCATCCAGCCGGAAATTCAATGCATCGGGTTGATGGGGTTCTAGTTAGGGGATCTAAACTCTTCCATTGCCGTTTCAGCTTGCAGTGTCCGGTTTGCTCGCCCGTCCAACTGCATTGTTGGCAAGCCCTGCGCTGGGGCGCCCAGGTCCAACAAAGGTTTCGCTGTTTCCTTGCTTGCTTTAGGAGCCTGGAGTGCAGGGCCTGCAAGGCCTGTAGGGCCTTTGTTTCTTGCGGACTTGGCGGTTGCGAGCTGCTTTGACCTGGGCGGGAATCAGTAATCCAAGAGTCTCAGGGCGAAGCATTCTGATGCAAAAAAACGCTTTATAGAACTGGCAAACCAGCGCGTCGACACGCAACGCTACAACGTCCCAGTAAGAACATGGCACGATTGTGAGTGCAGCTCCGGGTGTTAAGAGGCATTTGATAGCTATTTGTGTGCCCTCCCTTCCGTTCATGTTGGAGTTGAGAGCGCCCTTCCTGGCTGAACGCTTCAGGTGCCACCTTGGCTCACGAGCCTGGCAAGCTGTGAGCAAGAGCGACCTGGGCGGGAATCAGTAATCCAAAAGTCTCAGCGCGAAACATTCTGATGCAAAAAAACGCTTGATAGAACTGGCAAACCAGCGCATCGACACGCAACTGCAACGCTACAACGTCCAAGTAAGAACATGGCACGATTGTGAGTGCCGCTCCGGGTGATAAGAGGCGTTTGACAGCTATTTGTGTGCCCTGCCTTCCGTTCATGTTGGAGTTGAGAGCGCCCTTCCTGGCTGAGCCCTTCAGGGGCCACCTTGGCTCACGAGCCTGGCAAGCTGTGAGCAAGAGCGCCGGTGTGGGCCTGCTTTGCGTGCAAAGGTGACATCCAAGCAGCGAGCGCACTGCTGTGGATGTGGGAAAGCTGGAGAGCTTGATGCGGGACTGGCAACACAAGTGCAAGTAAGCCCAGGGAGCTTCTTCAAGCAGTAGAGTTTACCGTAAACAGGATGAGGAAACTCTCCCATCTGCGCTGCGGTGCAAGTCCTCTCCGCTTGCGATTGACAGGTTCCGTGCGAAACAGGAGCATCCGGGCTGCCTGAGATCCGTTTTGTACACACAACCACAGTCCGCTCCACAGGATGTGCGGTTTTGGGACATTTTACCGCTTAGCTATGGAAGGCAGCAATGGCCTTCCTTCGCAAAGGCATCCAAAAAGAGGCGGCGGCAGGCATGTCGAGGTTGAAGTTCGTTCTGAGCTTTTGGAGCGATATTTAAAGCAGGAATTTCTTTATGCATCCATCACATGATATCATTCCGCCAATATATATTCGGGCACATGAGATCAGGAAATAAAGATAGAATCCTTAAGAAGAATGCAGTCCTGGGAACAGACAGACGGGTGCACAACTATTTTGCTAGAGCTGCTTCAGGGTTCACGATGGTTTTTTGCAAGCAGCATTGCCGACAACAGGACCTGGGCTGCTCGCCTCCTGCGTTTGCCAGAGTGCCACACCTGCAACAGAGAACTTGGCGGCTTGTTAGCTGCGAGATGTTCGTACTGGAGGTCGTGACGACTTCTGGTACGTGACCGCCCTGCCACGAACCCCAGCATTCGATTCATGACATGGTGCAGCGAGCCGCACGATCCAGCGGGGATTGGTTCACGGCCAGAGGTAAAGCTTCTGTCGCTGGCGAATTCCTTGAAAGCAGGAAGCCTAGATTTTTGTTCTGCTGTTCTTCGTGGTGTTGACCTCACGACTTTGCCCCTCAAAGGAGCCCCAAGGGGCGCAGACTGCGGGCATCGCGGACGACGAGGTTTCCGATCCCCCACTGCTGCAGCTGCGTTCGCAGGTGATACATGCTTGTAGCTGTGGTGTGCATGATTTGGAATGTACTTTGAAAGCGTCTCAAGCCTCTAAACGTTTACAGGGCTAAGGTTGCCTGACTCATCGTTCCTGCGAAAGTTTCTATCGGTCCGTCTCCCGTAGCAGGACCAACCTGCGCTGCCTGAGACGGCGGACGAGCTGGTGACGGCAGATGCGCTCCGAAAAAGGCTATCGGCATGCCTGTCCATCTGACTCTCTCTGTCTGCCGCTCGATTGATCCGTGTCATCCTATATCACATCAACTGCACGAGATCTAGCCTTGCCTAGCTTGCCTTGATCAAAGCAAAGGGCTGGGCAACGCGACAGCACTCAGTTGTTTTTTCGGAAATCTTTCTCCGTAAACTGCCCAGCCGTAAGCTTTCTTTCAGCCCCGGCATGTCATGGAAGCGGACCGAAGTTTCACATTTCGATCAGGAGGAGAAACGAAGTCCCACAGACTGCAAGCGTGTTCAAGTTCGCTTGCAGACGTGGTTTGGATTTCAGGGGTTTCTTGTCAGCTTTGCTGCGTGGCTTTACATGGCGTTTGCTGTTGGGCATTTGCAGCTGACATGTTACCATCAAACAGTTCCAGCTCTGACCTTGCTGGGCCCTGCCAACGTAGTAGCCTCAGCCGAATCAGCCGAAGCAGCCCGTCGTGAAGGGTCAGTGCACTCACACTGCAGTACATGGACATGAGCCATGTTCGCCCACGACCAATGGCTGGTGTTCCAGTTGCTGGCAGCAAGCCTTTGCAGAGGCTCGCTTCGTGAACTTTCGGTTGGAAGCTTGCCAATTCGTCAGTATTTGCTCTACCAGGGCAGCTTACCATCTTCGCAGCACCGTTGCTGGCGCAACGCTTTGCCAGCGAGGGAGCAGAGGCGGAGAGCACCGGTTTGGATCTTTTCAGCTCAACCTTCGGCCCTGAAGACATAGGAAAACAAGAATCTTCAGGGTTTTGGAGAGAGCCACCTTTCCGAGTGAGTCGTCATGCCATCCCATCACATACGAGAAATCATTTGAAGGTCGATCTCAACTTGGGTCATATTCGCCTGGCCGGCACAGCGGCTGTACTGGGCTGGCCGCGATACGGCGACATCTGCGAAGGAAGCGTTTTTTGCACTGAAAGTGTGGAGTCGAAGTTCTGAAGACTGGCCATCGTCGCTCTAAAAGCCACGATTGCATGGCCAAGACGGGATGGGACAAGTTGAAGTTACAAGTTCTCGTCGGATGTCTGGCATCGGACGTTGATCAGACGTGCCGGGTTATATCCTGACCTGCTACAGCAGTGGGAGTCCAAGTAGATGCAAGTTCGAACCTCCGGTTCATGTGGTTTGGCAACCCGCAAGGGTGGGAGAGCTCCGGTGCTGCTTGGTTTAGGTCGGGGCTCTAATCGTGCATCCTGGGTTTGTTTCGAGTGACTTCCACACTACTTCCACCTGCTTACTGAGTAGGAACGGAAGCAGGGGGGTTTTGCCATGCCTGGCGTAGGACCACTGCGGCTCTTTGACGTCGAGACGAACTGCCACTTGACGGCACCTTCACGTGGCTCTTCGGAGGAGGCAGCGTCCTGATTTAGATGGCCATCGGCTATGTGGCTTTTGGCATCTGATCCCAGGCACACTGAGCCGCACGGTGCCACCTCAGACGACTCCCTGGATCGCAGTGCTCCGGCTTCGGAGGACTTGGCCCTTCCAGCCTTAGGCCCGATTTAGAGGGCTCTGAACTCAAAAAATCCGCTCAACTCTCAACAGCACCTCACCATCGACCCTCAACCCTGCATCGACCGCACGGAAGCAGAGCTTCCAACCCGAAGGCTCCCCGAAACCCGGCAGTCTTGACGTCGTAAGGCTGAGGGCAGAAGGACCTTTCAAGACCCTGATGGCTGAAGCCCCATTAACCCCTAGCCCTAGACTCTCAAAATCGTGGAAACCCTGAAGGAAGCATGGCTGCCCCTCCTTGGCAACAGCGCTTCGGAGGGTCGAGGCTGACACCGGTGAGACCATCTGCCGCTCGGAGGACAAGACCATGCCCTGGAGCCTACCTCTCCGCCCGCTTCAAGATTGGGTATGTGCGAAAGGGGTTATATAATGGGTGTATACCCAGAAGGGTTTAGGGTTTAGGGTTTGGGGGCAGTGTTTGTTTATACAGAAGGGATGGCAGGTTGACGCTTCGCCACTCCAGTTTCTGTACTGTCGGAGCCAGGTGGCACGGTCGTCCTCGAGGCCGATGCCGCCTTGCCGGAGCTGCTGCCAGGCCTTTGCGGGCCCAACCAAAAGCCCAAAATCCTGAAAGTTCAAAACCCTAAACCCTAAACCCCAAAATTTCTAAAACTCAAAACCCTGATCGACAGCAGAAAAGGCGAGGCTCCGGCCAGCTTCGTTCCGGTGCTTCGCCGTCCCGCCGCCTCCGCGGGCTTGGCTGCAGCCTTGGAAGAGGCAGGGCTTCGGCAGGGCGGGGAAGGGCCTAAACCCGGAGAAACTCCCCCAAAGCTCATGAAACAGGCTTCTGTCACGCAGCTTTGCCAGAGCAAAGCAGGTGTTTTGAAACACAAGAGGCAGTTTCTGCTGACGCACGATACGGTCCAGGTGACTGCTGTGCCTCCCCCGGTTTCCGAAATCTTTGTATGGCCCAAACAAACCTCGAAAGTCTGAGCCCCCAACAGCCCAAGACCCTTAGCACTCCTGGCCTCACTCTGGCCACAGGCGGAAGCAGAGGGCCTAGCCGCCATTCGTGGGGAGCGCCCGGGAAAGCAAGAATTTGAGGTCCAAATTTGTTCTTTGTGCTAGTTTTGCGTGATAATGCACCGCAAGACAGTAAATCCCTATACTGTACATGTGTATGTTTACACATGTATGTATGTGTGTATGCATGTTTTTTTACGTATGTCATATATATGTGCATATATACATGTATATAAATATAAATATATATATATAACAATACGATACAACATAATAGAATGTAGTAATTATACTGTTTTGTTTATAGAACAGACAGGAAAACAAAATGTAGGATGCTACAACATGGTGTAAGATCAATTTTTTGTGTAACTTATGAACCAATATCATGGAGATATAGATATAGACTGAGAGATATACATATCGATACATATATAGACATGTATGTAGGTATATGCAATATGTCATCATGCACAACACATACACATACATGTACACATGCGCATACGCATACACACGCAGATACACATGCATATACATATGCACATACATGCATATATGTATGCGGACATATACACATATGCAATTACATCTCCAGATACATAGACATAGGCAGAGAGACATACATATACACACATATATGTATGTGTATGTGTAAATATATACATATAGAAAGCATATGTATATGTATGAGTCTGAAAGTTGTGCTGATGTAAAGGTTTCTGTCTACGTGTATGATCTGTGTCCCCTTAAAAGTGTCTATGTTCCTGGCTTGGAAGTCTGGAGTTGTTATACCACAGTAGACTAGAACTCCATGTAAGTCATTTTTTTCGTTTAGAGCTGTTTTACTAATATGGTATGGAACATGAGCTTCTTTAAGTTCTTTAAGTTATTTGATTCAGGCCACATCCCGGATTCCCACACTTTTTTAAGGGAATATAGCTACGTTCCTGTACATTACTTTTTTTTTTATGCCAGATCCCGGATGCCCAGGCTTCGCTGGGGCCAGCCTCTGCTCGTGGAGGTTTGGGGGGGACCTTCTTTTTTTCGGGGAGTCGGTGTTTTGCGAGTCCGACCCCGCAAGGCGCAAGGACTACAGGCCTAAACACCGTAAGCTTTTTTGCTTATGGGTTTAGGGATTAGGGTTGAGGGTTTAGGGTCCCGAGGCCCCTAAGCCCAATGACCCTGAAGCCGTAAAATCTGTACAAAGCGGTGTTCCTCAAGCCGAGACCACGAGAAGAAAGTCCCGAGCCGCCAAGCCCTAAACCCCACTGTTTGGGCCGGCAGTCGCTTCTGAGCAAGTCGCTGCCCATCGAGTTCTGGCTGAATCCTGTCGTGGCCTCAGGGTCGGGTCGAAGGAAAGCGCCGCTGCAGAAATATGAATGCATGGGTGTATGGATTCATGGATGCATGCTTTGTAAGCATAACCTCTACCGAACTATTTCTCGAGTCAACTGAAGTCAAGTCAGCTCAAGACTCAACTCGACTCATTCCAATCATCTATTCCCTCCCTCTCCATCCATCCATCCATCCATCCATCCATCCATCCAGCCAGCCAGCCAGCCAGCCAGCCAGCCGGCAGGCCAGGCCAGGCCAGGCAGCCAGCCAGCCAGCCAGCCAGCCAGCCAGCCAGCCATCCATCCATCCATCCATCCATCTTTCTCGAGGCCTCGGCTGCGGGCCGCCAGCAGCTCCGTGCAGCGGCGGTGGCGCTGCGGCCGCTGAGGCTTTTAGGGGGCCATCGCGGAGCATTGATTGGACGATTTGCGGCCTTAGTGGCGCATGCGGTTACATAAGGATGTATACGGGTATACAGGATTATGTAAGCAGGTTTTAATTGGGCTCAATGAGGTGATCTCGGGGCCTACTTACTTCTGAATCGCACCAAACTCTGTTGGGATTTGAAAGTTTAGGGTGCAGAGTCCAGAGCTTGGGGTTTCGAAATGAGTGTTAGTTTCGGGACTGCGCTCTGCAGGCAGCATCTGACGTGGCAAATCCACTGGCCAGTCACTTGGAGGCGTGGGAAAAGAGGGGAGTTTTCGCTCAGAACTGCAGCGAGCATCCCTCCCGGTGGGCAAGGATCTGCCAGTTTGGAGGGGCAGCAGTTCTATTCCATTCTGTTCTAGGTCTAGTCTAATACGAGTCTTCTTCCATTAAAAATTCTATGCAAAGCTCCAGTATTGAAATTCGATTCTATCCTATTCCTTTCTATTCTACGTTAGTCTGTTCTATTGGTCCTTAGTGATATATATATATATATATATATATATATGGAGTGATCCTTACTGAAGCAAGCTCGCTTTGGTGCCAATCTCTCGAGGTCCAAGAGCTCGGAGAAGGCCACGGAGTTCTGCATCGCAGGCGCCATGCCTCCACGTGTCGATGCAGCTGATCTGATGTTTCGAGGCAAGGCTGACATCGACCAGAGACATGTCCCTGTACAATACAATATAACACAGTACATAGTGGTATGATATAGTATGTTATTATATGATGTAGTATGGTATAATACAGTATCAATCCCGAGCCCACGCTGACGCGAATGTCAGGATCCGATCTGACCAGCTTTGATGCAGCAGGCTTCGTCTGCATGGCCTCCGGCAAGGTGCCACGCTGTCAGGGCTCTAAGGATGTCGGATGCAGCCCCGGGTTTTCTTTGTTCTTTCTCTGTGCGGACTCAGTGGGTCAGACTTCCAGAATCCTCTGCACGACCACTTCAGCTTGTTCTGTGAGTGAACCATCAGCGCCCGATCCAGGCCTCCGACTCGGCGGCGGCGCTGCTGCAAGAGGCTTGCCCCGATGTTTGACCTCGCAGCTCCTGGAAGAAGTCGAGCTCTCATTGCATGCTCAGCCGCGACATCTTGGAGCAACCCAGACAGTGCGCGAAGTTTCCGGGGGGGGGGGGGGTTCTTGCAACTGGTTGGGACGCTTTCGGCGCCCAAGCTTACCGAGTCCATGCCATACACCCACCCTAAGCCTTAAGCCCTTTATACCGAGACCCCAGGCCTTAAACCCTACTTCCTTAAACTCTATGCCCTAAATCTTTTTTCCCCGAATCCTCAAATGGACAAGTTTTATAGACCGTGCACATCCGTGGACAGAGAAGAGAAGGACCCGAGCGCCAGGCTGCCCACCTTCGCTGCGTGGAAGACGGCGACTTCGAGAAGGCCCCGCTCAAAGCAAATGGACAGAGTCTGTTCTTCTTTTTGGTAGTTGTCCTATCAAGATTAGTCGTACCGTGCTATACGGTTGTTGTTGTCAGCATTATGTTTGTTAGTATTAAGATCGGTCTTCGTGCCCTGGCTTCTTTTCGCTGCTGTGTCTAACGCGTTCGGACTCCTGTGGCCTGGGTTCTTGTTTTTGTTTCTCATTCGGTCGGACTCCTACGTCTGGGTTCTTGTTTGCTGTCCCTTCGGTCGGACTCCTCTGTGCTGGGTCCTTGAGCCGCGGTTTTGTTGTGTCTCATGCCTCCGCTCCTGTGCCCTGCGCCCTGCTTCCCCTGCTTTGTCGATTTGTGTCCTCGTGCCCTGCCAGTGCTGCAATTCTAAACCAGACATTGAAGCCACATATGTTACGAATACGGAGCTCGTGGTTCTCATGTCAAACAGGAATCGCTTTTGCTGGCGGCAGGCCATGCGCTGGGAGTACCTCGAGAGGACTTTCGCGGCCTGTGAAGATGGCGATGGAGCTGCCGCTCCCTCAAGAAGTGCAGGAGTCCAACGCTCCGATGCACGTGTTTCGAAGCAAGAAAGGAGGTCCTTAATCGGCTCTTTCGAAAAGTTTAGAAGAACTCAGATTCCGGGACGGACCCAGGCATCTTGCAGTGCGCGGCAGCTCCAGGCGCTGGGCGACAAGCGCCGGGCCTCCCAGGATAGATCTGGCTGGCGCAGCTTGCTCGTTCACTCCTCCTGTAGCTAGAAACTCAAGACTCAAGCCAAAGATCCTAGCCGAATTTCGCATTCCGATGCAAAGGCGAGGCTTGGAGTGCCGTTGCGAGGCTGTGTGCCCAACAACTTCACCGCTTTCGTCTTGTCGGAGGCCGTGGGCACGCCTTCCGGCCTGGGCGCGATGCCAACAGCACCGGAAACAACTACCCTAAAAGCCTCCAAAGCCCTAAACACACCTTAAAAAGCACCCAAAACGCTAGAAGCCCCTAAAAGCTCCATAAAGCCATTGAAACCCCCAAAGAAACGCCAAGCAGCGCGAGGCCAGGAAGCCTCGACCGTGGCCCATGGGCCTTCGAGGCGGAGAGCCAAAAGCAATGGGCCGCGATGCGTTTTGAGCCTTACAGTATGTTGCACTATACTATATTCTAGCAAATTATATTATATGATCTATTATCTTGTGTTATAGAAAACTATGGTATAGCATATGATATGGTAGTGCATGATATGAGCCTTTTTCATCAAGGTTTGCAGTGAAACTTGAGAGGGGGTTCCCGACGAAGGGATTCAGTGAAGACCTTTCGCAGATTCCCTGCGGGATCCCGGTGGAGTCTCAGGGAAGTCTAAACACCCCGTGAGGTGACTCGCCAGACTTCGCTGTTCGAATCGCCGGCTGGGCTTTCGGTGGCATGCCCGAGGCCTGCTGGGCTTTTGAGAGGATCCCAGGTTCTGTTCTCATCGTCTATACATCTAGTATCTGTATATATATATATATATATGTACATACACATACATATAATATATGTATATATATATATGGATATGTATATGTATTTATAATGTACATACATACACACACTCACGTCTGTACTCTATGTGCATGTGCACACACGCACACGCACACGTGCGCGCGAACACACTTAGACATGAAGAGCTTTGGTAAAGCCTGTCGCAACTTCCAGGCCGAAGCCATCTTCGAGGCGGTCTGCGCCGTCCTACGGTCGCTCCCTCAGCAACCGTCCCCTTCTTTGACGATCATAAGACTTCTGACCAGTCCCACCGTCACAACCATACTGTTTCTTGAAGTGGTGATGATGATGGTCATAGTTATGGTTCTTGACATTTTTTTTAGTGCATGCTCTCATGAACGCTATTCTTCTTACTTTGGACAGTTTGTGGTGCCCTTTGACAGTGCTGAAGTGCCTGGATCCTGCTGAGGCTCCCGGGCCCTGCAAAGCCGTCTGCCTGCGCTTCGACCTGCACTTGAGGAATCGAGGGAGGAAGCATTTGGGCAAGGACCGGGGAACGGAACAGAAATAGGATCCCATCATCTCGGTTGTGATTCGATTTCTGCAGAGGTGGCGAAGTCTGGCACTGGCGTGCGCCCGGATGGTTCCTGCGTCGAGCACCTTGCCTTTGCTGAATTCTGCTAAGGCCTCGCATATCGTCAGAGGTTTTCAGAGACTGACGCGGCACGGCTACTTGACGAGTGCATGCCGCTGGTTCGGCATTGTGTCTGGCGCATCCGGTTTGATGTTTGCCTGTGTGTCGCGTGTCTTTGAAGCTGAAGAGAAGAGGAGAGCTTCGGCAGGACCCGAAGCCTCATCTTGCGTGCTACTGCAGTGCCTTGGTGCCCAGGTACCACTTTGGCCACACAGCTGCTTGCGGCTTGGCTGAAGGACCCTCCGACAGCCTGGCAGGAGCTGAGATAATCCCCACAGTCATCCCTGACTGTCTCTGATGTCTGCCGCCTCCGGCCAGTCTCGAAACCGAAGCTGTTATGGTGTCTTCTAGTTTCAGTCTGCTTCTTACCATCATGAAAGAGGTCCTTGCTGCTGAGCTTTCTCCTGCCCTTCTGCTGGCCAGCATTGAGGAGGACACTCGTGGACGCTTTGGCCTGCCAAGACTGATGCACCTTGCTGCTTAAGACTTAGCTCTGTTGAAGGACCTTCAGCTGCTGCTGTGCGCGCAGGAGAAGCTGAAGCCAATGCGCGGCCCTTTGGCACAAAGGCAAACCCTTAGCCTTCAAAGCTTCTTGGCGGTGGGCTAACACCCTTTAAGGCAGGAACGCCGCAACTCGAACATTCGCCGAGGGTCTTGGGCCTTGTGCAAAACTTATGCCACGGAAGCAAGGGACACCCAAGCTTGCGGCTAGGGCAGAACTTCACCAAAGCTCAGTAAGCTGCTGCCATTGTGTACTCTGCGTTGAAATCATTGAATCCTGGGCTGCGTCCTTGCCAAGATCTAGTGTTGGCTGGAGCCTGTCGCCAGCACTTAGGCGATCGTGTCCGACGCATCCATCTTCAACATCGTGTCGATCGTCCTCACAGTCTCGATGGGAAGCTTGGCTCGCATGTCGGCGGTTTACTCGGTTTCCTTCGAAAAGGAATGATACTTCTCGGAAAGCATGTTTGCGTGTCTTCTCAACAGCGAGGCTGCCCCCAGCATGTCCAATGTTCCTGCCCCTGCAGGTACCTTGCTGTAGCAGCAGCGAAAGCGGCGAAGGCCGGAGGGAGAAGCAGAGTAGGGTCTTGTGAGATGCGTCTTGCAAGGAGCCTGCCGCCGCGTCGGCTATGTTCCTTCAAGTCATCCAAACATTTTCTGTGTCGTGGTTCCGCTAACAGCTGAACACACCGGGGATGCCGGATACATCTCAAGCTGGGTGGTGCCAGACTTTACAGCCAGCCAGAGCCCTCTCCGACAAGCTTGAGGAGCAACTGCGCAAGTCTCTGTGCAAGTCTCTGAAGAAGAACACACGTTGGAGAGCCCGACGGTTGAGAGAAACACATATTTAGGCACATGAGTCGTTGAAGACTCAGCCTTCACAGATTCGGATGCCAAGAAAGGTCAGGAGAAGACAAAGTGGCCTCCAGGCGGGTACTGACCACGTGAGTGCAGGACTCTCACTCGGGGACATGCCCACACACACAGAGAAAAGTATATATATATATATATATATATATGGTACCCCCCCCCCCACGTACCTACCCTTTTCCTGCTTTCCTGTTCAGGTGCGGAGCTCAGCAAGCCGATGCAGGTTTATGTTATCCAGGGGATAAGGGCTGCAGTAGGATAAGATGGTGCTCCTATACACGATCCCAATCGTGCTCCTGCACACCGTCCCAAAACCACACGGTCGCGATTGGAAATACCAATAAATGTGTCATGCAGGGAACCAAAAACACTAGAAAAAAAAATAAAAATGGCACACAGGGAATCCAAAACATTGGAAAAACCAATAAAAACGCATACAAGGAGCTCAAAACATTGGAAAAACCAATAAAAACCATAAAAACCATGATTTTCAAACTATCGCCCGGGAAGTGGTGTCGCGCCTGGACATAGATTGAAAATCATGGTTTTTATGGTTTTTATTGGTTTTTCCAATGTTTTCGGTTTCTGGAACTCGGAAACATTGGAAAAACCAATAATAAAAGTGGCACACAAGGAGTCCGAAACATTGGAAAAACCAATAAAAACGCATACAAGGAGCTCAAAACATTGGAAAAACCAATAAAAACCATAAAAACCATGATTTTCAAACTATCGCCCGAGAAGTGGTGTCGCGCCTGGACATAGATTGAAAATCATGGTTTTTATGGTTTTTATTGGTTTTTCCAATGTTTTCGGTTTCTGAAACTCGGAAACATTGGAAAAACCAATAAAAGTGGCACACAAGGAATCCGAAACATTGGAAAAACCAATAAAAACCCTAAAAACCATGATTTTCAAACTATCGCCCGGGAAGTGGTGTCGCGCCTGGACATAGATTGCAAATCATGGTTTTTATGGTTTTTATTGGTTTTTCCAATGTTTTCGGCTTCTGAAACTCGGAAACAGTGGAAAAACCAATAAAAATGGCACACAGGAGTCCAAAGCATTGGAACTGGAAAAAAACAATAAAAGTGGCACACATTCTAGTTGTGAGGATTGAAGATCAAGGCTTTAATCAGTCGTCAATATCCTGAGTGCCAGAAGACGTCTCAAGATGGCCAGGCTAAGTCTTATGCGTTGAAACACCTGCTATGTGAGGTAGGCACCTGTAGTCCCAGGGCCCCATAGCCCCCAGATGTTGATAGACTGTAATGGTATGAAATGGAATGAGTAGCAACAAACGTACTTAGTAGGATGATAACAGTTAGCACATAGTTGATAGCCATAAATATCCTGTAATCATAAGAGGAATGGTTTGTATTATTAGTACTTCATTAATCTCATTTGCAACTTATGGTACCAGTCTTACTAGCTACAGTTTCATTACATCAGGTCTATCATCAACATTAACATCTTTATAACTTCTGTGTTAGTTGTCATATTATGAGATTATTAGGTTTACGTTTAGTTACTTTATCAACATATAACCAGATCAGTTGGGATTACATCATATATTTTGTTAATAGGCTACCAATATTGACAGGAGCTTTGCTAATGTTATTAACAGGTATACACGATAATACAATATTCTATGAACCATACTTTGGAGGTGATCCTATACTCTACCAACATTTGTTGGGTTCTTTGGACCAGTTGGTATTCAATAGTTTGACAGTAATTGGCATATTACACGTCTTGGTTACCTTATTTATGATCTTAGCTATGAGTTGTATTTGTCTATTAGCAAAGTTTAGTTTGGTGCGAACGGACTGCGATGCCTTGTCATGTTCTAAGGTGTCACTATAAGAGCTGTGAGCAAGACCGTGTAAAGTGCAAGAGAAGGGGGCACGCTACGCGTCCCTCGACTCTAGGGGGCATGCTACGCATCCCTCATCTTTGCCTTTCTATGTGACCGCCAACGCAACGTTTGGCTCAAGTCAATGCCCATAGCTAAGTGCTATATGTGTCTTCTATCCTGAGCAATCAGAGCTATCCCGTTGCACAGACGAACCGCCGCCGGCAGTGAGTGCAAAAGGAAAGGCCGCCGGTTCTGCCTGCATAGGATTGCACGTGTGGGAGTAAGAGGGAGAGACAGGGTCCAGTCTGTGGAGAGTGCTAGCCAGCCACACCTATATTCATTACAGCTCTGGTGGGGAGAGCAGCAACCAAGTCGAGATCAATCCCCCACGCAGGTTATCAGCCGTACGCGGCTCTGCCTTTCTACAGCAACGACTACTTGATCTACTACGACCACAATGAACTCAGGATCAAGCCAAGATACGACAATGACTTTCGGTGCCGATGTGGCAGCGCCAGCCGTTGGTGAGTCAACAGCTGATGACACAGTGGTGCAATCCGTTGATAGCTCCACGGAAGATGACAAAGGTCAATCTTCTGCGCTTGCCATTGCAAAGGCAGTTCCCAAGGGGAAAGCAAAGAGTCTACCAAGAGCATCTACGCCTTCACGTCCGACATCCACAGGTTCGAGGACGGGCAAGGCTTCAGAACGACGGGCCGAAGCGTCTGGTTTTCAGGCACCTCGGACTACGTCCAGGGCTAAGGACAAAGGAGTCAAGACCTTGGAAAAGAAGTCAAGACCATCATCTTCGAGAAGCTCTTCAGCACGATCGAGGACTTCGGCTACTCGTGGGCGTGACAAGTCCATGACTTGGAATCGGATGGTTACCAATCAACCACGCGATACTGACGATCTGGACATGACTCTGGATACGATTCCTGCACGTGGTGATGCGTCATCCGTGGCCACGCCTGCAATAGCTGACGGTCCGAATGCCTACCAGGAACTGACGATTTCGCAACAGTTCGAAGCATCGAACCTTGCACAGCAGATGTACTATCGCAGTCAGGTGCAAGAATACGAAGGAATCGTCCAGACCCTGATGGACAAGATCAAGGAGATGCAACAAGAAGATGAAGGATCTGGAATTCGCATTGAGGAATTGGAACGACAACGTGATCATGCATGCTTAGCCATGAGGCACATCAACAATGTCAATCAGGAGATGAAGCGAGACTATGAAACAGCTTTGTTTCGCATGGATGAGCAGAACTCTGCTCAACAACGTCAAGCACATGCCGTTGCCGAGGATTTAGCTCAACAGCTACACGTGTTCCGCACGGAGGCAGCCACCAACTTTGTGCAGTTGGAGGCAAGAGCGCAAGGTGATGGTGAGCTTATGGCACGTGAGTATGAGCGTCTGACTCATGAACTTCATGAACACGCCAGAGAGAACTTGGTCCTCCGGTCAAACACAGCAAGTTCGGAACAAGCCTTACAAGCAATGCAGGAACGATTCCACTTGGTCAAGAACCAGGAGTTGCGGGCTGTGAACGAGATCCAAGGGCTAGCTGGAAACAGCGCAGCCATTGAACAAGAACGATTTCGGCTTCGCGAACGTCTTGGTGAAGAGGAAGAGTACCGCAAAATGGCTGTGAAGAGGATGCAAGAAGCAGAGGATCGACTTCATCAGAATGAAGATCATGCAAGGCGATCATTGCCTACCTTGCACGACGAGCTGAGTGAACTCAGGAAAACGCTCAAAGCACAAGAAGATCTTCAAGCGAGGACACGCAGCGAATTGGAGGCAGCGCGAAACTCCAATCAAGGAGGAGCGACGCGACCTTCGAGCATGCCCATGTCTTCGAGGACTACTGAGTCTGGCTGGGAGCACGTAGGAAAGGAAGTAATGCCTGCATTTTCCGTAGGAGATGAGGTACGATCCCCTGAAATACGGTCCCCAAGTCAAGTTAGTCCAGTCGCCAAAGAGAAGTTCGCATTCTCGGAATCGGACAAGGACAAGAACCTTGTGATGGACGGAATTCCATTCACCGGTGGAAACTTCTTCACTGGCCGCAGTTCAATGCCAATCGTGGCGGATGCAATGCCCGAGCACCACGTGCCAGGTATTAGCAGCCCAGCACTTGCGCGTTCCACGCCTAGTGCAGCCACTTTGTTTGGCATACCAAGCGGATTTCATGGGAAAAGTGATGCGGCAGCCGTGCGTGATCGACAGCTACGCGAACTCTTGGGGGATCGCGGGATGTTGGGATCGAAGTCCACAGCATCGGCCAGCTCCTCAAGACCTGT